GAAATTCCAATTTTGAAAGTGAAAATTAATCATGAAACTTGAGTTCTGTGGAATGTAACGTTTAAATATTCCCAAGTAATAATTACTGACTATTAAATTGTGATATATTGTGTATGAAAATAAAAAAGCACCTAAAAATTATTTTAAATTTGTGTGCCAGACTTGTATTCTATAGAAACCATGTTCTATTTCTTGAAAAACCCTTAGAAAAGTAATTCTGCATTTCTCAGTAAAACTCTATCTAATATTTTTTCCAAAGAATCGAGAGCTTTTAACGTAAAGTAAAGAGCCTATTTTATTGGAAAGGTCAACCTTTCGTAAAAGTTGTCTATAAAATTCATTTCGCCAACAAATGGTATCCTAGCAACGGCCGGGCAGAGTATTTTATTTATTTGCTCAAAAGTAAAATATAAGCAATCTATGTGTGTGTGCGCATAGATACATATCTAAATTAAAAATTTATTTTTGTGTCATTGTTTCGGAATTCATTTATTATTATTATTATTGATATTTTTTTTCAATATTTTCAATAATCCAGTATAAAAGGAAGGAAAATAATTAGGTATGAGATGGTTACTTTTTAATCAATTCATACCAGTCCATGTGATAAAGGAAACATGAATTTTATTGGATCGGAGAATCTATTGTAATACTTGTATATGCTTTTCAAAAGGAATAGTAACAACTTTAGATGTAATAAGCAATTACACAAGAGCTCCGCTAAAAGAAAAAAGCATGTATGAAAAAAATGTATGTTGTTTAGTTCATATAAATATTGATATGAGAGTAGGAATAGATACAAAAACTCGGAACATAGAACTTTATGTTTATTAAATATTTAAGTACAAGTATAAAAAATTAAAACGATAAAGGAAATGAATATAAAATACATAACAGAAAAAAATATAACGTAATTATATATTTTTTAATATGTCATAATTGATAAAGGTTTTTTCATATCCAAACAGTTTGTAAGAATTTTGACATTTACCTGAATTGGTTGTAAAAGTAATTTTGAAGTCTACTAACTTTTTTTATTCATGTTTCAGGAAGTAACATAATTTTCCTCAAGAATTCGGGTATTAAGAATTCAACATTTGGTTTCCATAAATAGTCTATAATTAAAGAAAAGCTTGAAATGCTTGGATGTAAAAATTATCTTGGATAACTATCCTGTCACAGTGAGCAGTTTGAATTATCTTGATCAGTTCTAAGCAAATCATGCATTCTGTTTAGAAAATTGTGATTATAATCGAATTTTGCGTGAACTCTTAAAATAAGAATAATTGTAGGAGGTATTTTCATTGTTTTAACAAAAACGAGTAACATTTTATTAAGCCTTAAATGTTTATTTAGGATATCTGTAAGCGATTTATACTGGTAAATTTTTTTTTAAAGTTACATTTTTAACAGCTTATTGTTGCGGTTTAATGTATTATCCAGTAAATAATGAACAAATAATTATAGAAGCGTATTTGATGGGTTGCATGATTTTCATGCATTTCGAAATTATCATTTTGCAAATAAAATTACATATGAAAAAATTCGATATACAAAACGAATGCGTCAATTTTTAACAATCTCGTTCGAATATTTGATTCTTTTAAAAGCCAATTGTTTTTTAATTTTAGTTTTTAAATTAAATGATTGATTTTTGTTGCTTTAAATTAATATCATGCTGGACGTAAGGTATTTCGTAATCTTGTAAAGGAAATGTTGCTTGTAATTTTGACTCAAGTGCTGAATTTCGTATTTTTGAACTATTATCAAATGATGAAATCCTGCATCCTATGCTTACGAGTATTTTGAAGTATAAACCCGATCACCGAAGACCCTCAGTTTTTAAAGATAACAGGTCTTGAATACAGAGTGGTCCCGAATTCATGGTACAAACTTTAAGAGTAGGTACAGTACATTTTAACAATCATTTCTTGATAGGAATGTATGGGCGCAAGTGACGCGGTGAGGCTTAAGCACAAAAAATAAGAGACGAAAGGAAAGACACAGGGTTTATTGAAAGCGTCATTGACAAGCAAAACGTTTACAATAACTGTTCATAACTATTCAGCACATGTACTATGAAGTCCAGCTGCAGTGCACATTGCTGTACTACCCACTAGAAGTCGTAGAAGATAGTATGCCGGTTGAAAGCTTGTACTCGCTGAAAGTGGGAGATGTGTAAGCAGTTTTCGTTTAACACTCTACAAACGGTCTGATGACTCCCACTTACGTGATGAGCAACATCTCTTGTACTTGACTCTGGTCTAACAGCCACAACGTTTAAGATGCTTTCTTCCAGGTTTAGTTTGCATACAGCTCTTTGTCGACCAGCATCATGTCTGGTGACGGGGAACTAAAATTTTCACGAAATTGACAATGCAACCGCTGAAAAATTCTGTGATTTGGTATTTGTCGATCAGGAAATTGCGCATGATACATTAGTAGCGCAGCTCTGCCGTTACTATTTGCACTCCTGTATGTATAATACGGTATACGACAATTCTCCCATCGTAGACGTCAGCACAATTGTGAACGGCACTTTTCCCTACTGAGATGCATCATGTTGAACGGCGGCTTGACATCTACTACCCCCAACCGGCAACACAACCAACCGATAACTCCATTTCTCTTTTCTTTTATTCCCCCTGTTTGCGCCTCATCGCGTCATTTGCACCCATACATTCCTACACAAAAAATGATTGTTACAATGTCCTGTATCTACCCTTAAAGTTTGTACCATGAATTCGGGACCACCCTGCATTTCTTTATCTCTACGTTTTTCTTATATGTATACACTTTCGATCTAACAGGTGTTTTTAAAAGTGTGCGATTGATAAATATGAAAATATTTAAACAAGAAATTATGCTATCCTTTTAAATTTTACTATTCTTCTTCTTACCTTCCAACTTCTGAAGGTTTCGTTACATACATGAAGGTATAATTAATTGTTCTTTTCAGTAACTTCCCGTCTAGACTAACCAACAACAGTAAAAAAAGCGCTTACAAGGAATCGAGAGTTTTATGAATTAAAGCCCAACGTCGTGAAAAGTTTAGGGAAAAATCGATAGCGTTAAAAGCATTTTCATTAAATAAGATTATGTAATGTCATGTTCAGGTTTAACTTTTTCTGTTTAATATTAATATTAGTCAAATTGCCAAGAGCTATGAGACATAAAGGAAAAATATCAAGATTCGTTAGATCTCGGTGCATATCAATAAAATAAAAAATATGTATAAAAATTAAGAAAAAAATTTCCGTAAAATGCAGCGTATAACGAGCACTTTTAACACACAAAAAAAAATCTAAATTTATGGGTGCACGCTATTCGTAAAATTATTCCAAATTTTTTTCGCGGATATTAATTGGGTGAAGAAGAAACATTGGGTTTATGCAAAACTTTTCAGTCGACTACGACCTGCGCGAAACACCGGTGAAAGTCGGAACGCGAAGAAACCGATTCACGCAGCATAGGCAGTTCAGACAAGTTTCGTGCAACTGCTGTGCGAAGGAACGTTGTTAACCATCAAACAAGGTGAATGATGGCACAAAGACGCCAATTGGACATGTTTACGAAAGGAAGAATCGTTGGAATGCTGGAATCCTCACGATCACAAACCGAAGTGTCTCGAATTCTGAATGTCGACCAGTCTGTGTTCTCAAGATTGTGGCAGAGGTTTCAAAGAAAGGGAGATGTTACCCGATAACCAGTATCAGGTAGACGAAGAGTCACATCCCCACGCCAAGACCGATATCTGTTAATAAGTGCGCGACGTCAGAGGGGCAGTACTGCCAGAGCACTGGGTTCGGCGCTCAGAGTCACCACAGGAATACGAATTTCGAGACAAACTGTTTACAGGAAACTCAATCATGCTGGCCTGTATGCCAGAAGACCAGCAGTTTGCATTACTCTCACGTCTGCGCATAAACGCGCTCGTTTGAACTGGAGTTTGAGATATCAACATTGGAGTGTGGGAGAGTGGGCCAATGTGATGTTCAGTGACGAGTCTTGGTTTAGTCTGAATAGTGATTCTCGGCGGGTAACGATAGGGAGAGAATGTGGCACACGTTTTGAACCAAGAAACATAACGGAGAGACATCATTTTCCATCAAGGGGAGTAATGGTATGGGCAGGCATCATGATGGACGGCAGCACAGACCTCCATTTCTTTGACACGGGGTCTGTGACTGCTCAAAGATACAGAGACGAAGTTCTTGAGCCTTATGTTCGCTTGTTTCGAGGTGCTGTCGGTCCTGACTTCACATTCATATATAGATGATAATGCACCATGTCACCGAGCGGTGCTGATTGATGACTTCCTTGAAACGGAAAACATCCAGCTCATGTCGTGGCCTGCGAATTCCACTGATTTAAATCCTATGGAGCATGTACGGGATATGCTCGGGAGACAAATTGCAGCCCTTTCGCACCCACCAAGCTCCGTTATAGAACTGAAGAGAGCTCCAAGAAGCTTGGAACCGTTTGAGCTCACAACTCATTCATCATCTCATAGCAAGTATGGTAAATCGCTGTGCTGTCAGAGGGGACCACGCGCCTTATTAATCTGCAGCATCAGTATTTTATTTAATGTTTTCTTTAATTTTTTCTTTAAAGTGTGAATCCTTGCTATGCTCAGTTTTCTTTTAAACTGCTACTTTGGATATTAAAATTAATTATTATCATTCTTTTGATTTGCTTCCTTATTTTATAACCTTATTTTACACTCGCATATCACGTTTCCCGCCATTCTGGTTTACAGTTCCTTCTTTATTCACATAATTATCAGTTATGCTTTACTTTTGGACACCAGTGTACATATGACAGAATCACAATATTAAGTTACAAAATAGAAAGCAATTTTCCTTGCAATTTTCCATTTTCCTTTCTATATATGGCTTACACTACTATATTTTTTGTCACTATTTATTCATTCATTAAATTTAATTATTCTAATAAAATAGTACATTAAAAAAAGGAAATCACATTCTCAGAAATTAGGCCGTCCAAGATGGGATTGGAACCCACGCCCTTTGGATTAGAAATCCAACGCCCTGTCCATTGTGCTACAGGGACACAACGAACAATTTACCTTTCTATAACTATATGCTGTTGGACTATTAGCTTTTTAGCTACTATTTATTCATTTTTTAATTTAATTAACGAATTAATATTTGAAAAACTGTATTAACATCAAGTGTAATCCACTACAAGTTTAAAAAAATGTATTTGAACTTGAATGGATGAATAGAAAGTATTTTATTAACGATTGAAAATTTGAACAAGATATATAAAAAGGGAGAGAGTGAACTGATAGTAAGAATTGAAATAAATTATAGTTTAAAAAAATCTAAGGAACACTCTTTTATACTGATTCGAACTAAAAGGTAAAACAATAATTCTTAATATAGGATAAAATGATGAACGAGAAAATTAATGTCATTGGGGTAAAACCGTGGGGTGTTCTATAAACATATCAATTGTTATACTTTCTAACTTCTATTCCGAAATGCTGAGTTAGTGTGAAAATGTAGTACAAAGAAAGCACCCCACGCTTTTACCCCAATGACATTAATTTTCTCGTTCATCCTTTTATTCTTATATTAAGAATTATTTTTTACTTTTTAGTTCGAATTAGTATAAAAGAGTGTTCTTTAGTTTTTTTCAAACTATAATTTATTTTTCATTTTTAGTTCGATCTACAATAAAAGCGTGTTTTTGGGTTTTTTTAAACTATCATTTATTCATTGTTGAATTTATCCTTGAGTTTCATATTTGGAGCCGGAATTACGTGGCTGCTGGAATTAGTCTTGCTCATCAATGGATATTAATTAAAGGGTCTGAAGTGTATTTATTCTCTCCATTTACGGGGCCTCGGATGAGTCCCGTATCGTTATGTTGGATTCCGTTTCTATAGAACAGGTCAAACAATTAAAAGTATGTTAAGTAGAAAAGTTCGAATTTAAAAAATTTAATGTACCATGTTTTTACAACGGACTAAAAAGTATCAAATTCCTCCTTTTCGTTTTTTTTTTTTTTTTTTTTTCACATTTTTATGCATTGCCATCTACTTCTGAGCTTAGGTCCTAATTTCAAATCTGTAACTCATCGAAAAGTCACACAGTTTAATCAATTACAAAATTCCATTGAGGCAGACATTCAAGAAAGCGAGTTAATAATAGCATGGTTATTTTTAGTGTCAATCGTACTATCCCTTTTTAAACGTATTTCTATAATGTTAATAAGTATCATCACTTCTAAACGTATTGCTTTATAAAAAAAAATATTTAGCAGTTAGAAGATAAATTTTTTTTTCACATGCACGAGCCTTTTTTTTTCTTTATTTTCAGAAAAATGTTTATATTAGGGTAAGTAATTGCTAACACACACCCACCTTCCACTTTCTCACATAAAGAACACTTTCTATGTTTGTTTTATTTGTAATATCTACAAGTGTATTTTACACTTGCATATAATTAACTTTAAATTAAAAACACTCGCTTTAGGGTTACACCTTATTCTTTGTCGCTAAATCTGGAATTAGTCGCCAAATCTGGAAATTGTGAATGCAATAAGTTGCCAAATCTGGAAGTGGTATATGGAATTGTCGCCAAATCTGATTATCTTTATTCCTGACGATCCTGATAAGGACAATAGAACAAAATAATGAAATTATTGTATTGTCATCGGTCCTTGACAAGTGTGCAAAATTTCGAATTAATCCGATCATTTAAAGTGGGTAAAAATCGAGTTCTAAGACTCCGTTGCAAACAAGTGAAACATAAAAGCGAGTTAAAAATAGACCTCTTCATATATCAAAATATTGCTTATTTTTAAAAAAATTACATTCCTTTTGAACTTAAAGGGCTGTAGTTCTAGAAGTATTTTTTCCAACTAAAGCTTGGTAAAGCTCGAATAAATGATTTCAAAACATAAGAGCATTGCACACGTATATTTCAAGTTTCTTCCTTAAAAAAGTGGGTGCACATTATACGGCGAAAATATGCCTAAAAATTAAAAAATGCAGCTCGAAGGAATGGGTGCAAGTCGTACGCTGTATTTTGCGGTAATTATATTTAAACCTGAAATTTTAAGTATAAATAAAACTTGATAAAAATAGAGCGATAAATAAGTTGTGAAAGTACTTATTCATTCCATTGTGTTATGCTTATGTTTGTGCATTCACATCAATTACCTGTTGTAAACGGCGCATTAAAATTAGAATGAAATATTTGGCAAATATTTCAAGTGTTTTTCGAAACCATGAAAAGTTTAGTAATAGCACTGCAAGTTGGTGTTCCCAATATATTACATCGGAGAAAGTATATCTCAGAACATTACATCAATCAATCATCATGAGAAGTGTTAGCCTCTCCCTACTTCAAATGAGCATGGAATACCGTTTTGGCTTAGTAATTGCCACTTTACACTGTTGAGCGCGTTATTCAACCATTATTTCAATACAAACAGTTAATCCTTTCAACAAATCTTTGAGGGAAAGAAACAATAAATTGAGGACAACAAAGTCCACAATATTCAGCACTGATTTTCCATTTCTAACTTGCTAATGTACTCGTTCATAGAAGAAATGGAGCCATACCTTCCTTTCAAAGTCGCGCCGTGCGTGAAGGTCATTCTGAAATTTTTCAGATACGGTTAAACGTTAAAAATTAAACTTACCAAATGTTAAGAGTGTTCAAAGTAGCTTCCTCCAGCATCAGTGCACTTGTGTAGACGAATTTTCCGAGGAATAAATGGAGCCATTTATTTTTTCAAATCGATGGATAATGTTTTTACTGCATCGTCAGTCTCATTACAGGAATGAAAACATTTTCCACGTAAATTCGGCTGAAGAATAGCCTTATGTCGTAAATAGTAAAATCAAGGAAATAGTGATCCCCCCCCCCCTTTTGATATAACTGAAGGTTTTGTGGAAAATATTTAGTGGTGTACAATTGTGTGTCACTCATTAAAATTAAAGAAAAAGTTGTATAAATTGACACTTCTGAAGTGGTTAAATTGCTAACTGAATATTACTAATATGTAATAAGCACTTCATTATTCTTTACATTACATATTTTTATTCAATATCTAATATGTATTTCTTTTGAATTTGATATTTCAAGCTAAACAAAAAAAGTTATCTAATAACATGCTATTGCGGTAATTGACCTGCTGTACCACAGCATTGCCATCTACAACTATGTTTATCTTGTGAGATGGGGAAATGTAGCTAAGCAGAAATGCGAGTTCATTTTTTTTTAAACATTTAATCCAAAATAAACCTATTTTTATTTCCAAAATAAGAATGGTTCATAACGGAAAATCAAGGTCCACTTCAACACTATAAAAATAAAATTGACTCTGTCAAAAGCAAACCGAAACTTCACTCCTTTTTTGACCAGAATGTAAATCACTATAGTTACCAATCTTTTTTGGACTGCATAATTTTGAACACCTAAGCTTATATTTCACCCCTTTAATTCCCTTATTTTTTCACATTATGATGTTCTATGACCCGGTTCTAATTCATTTACAGCAGTTCCAATACTTTTCAAGAAGGAATTTTTGGCGAACCAAGATTAGAATTTGGGACTGTGTGTTTGAATTTCTCCTGATAATTCGTGTCTTTAAAAGTTGGGCAATATTATCTATCTATCTATATATATATATATATATATATAAATGGATGTTTGTATATATGACCTCGCTTCACTCTAACACCTTTCAATCGATCACTGTGAAAATTGGCATGTATATGTATTTTTTGTGGAAATGGTTCTTGTGCTGTCCTCTCTGTTGCAGCTCCCCACCAGGTGGCACTGCAGCATATTCACTTCTACATCGTTCAATCAGCCGCCAAGTTGCCAACATGGTCGCCAAAAAAGATGCCAACTTGGCTCTATCACCAACATTTCGCTATGTTTCTAGTAAATCACCATTATAATGTAACAAACGGCGTTGCTTGCGAATATTACAATTTTAACATAAAATAAATACAACAGAAAGTAATATTAACATATTACACATCCAGATATAAATTATTTACGCTATTTTAAGCGTTAATTATACAAAATTGGTAGCAATGTGTTATTTTTGCTGAGCAGAGATCAGTTTAAAAAGGTGTTTTCAAAAATAGAACCACAAGAGAGTTATGGGGTGTTATAAAAAAAACATCCTTCTTATCAGCTATTAGACCTTTAGACTTAAAATTTAACAAATATATATGTGTTTCGTTTTTTTTTTTTTTTTTTTTTTTTTTGTTTTTTTTTTTTTTTTTTTGTTTAGCTGAGATATGCAAAAAGCTTTTTTTATTCTTTTTAGTTTTATTTTCAATTTACGTAAAATCAACTCATTAAAAATTTCTTTATCCTTCAATCTGTATTGATTAATTTTTCAATTCACCCGTGCGAAGGACGGGTATACCAGCTCTTACATAAACGAATTAAGTGGGTGAATGCAGCACCAGACATAATTAATATTGTCTCTAACCACTTAAGAAGAGGTTCTGCTTTGTTGCAAATATTATTTAAATAGATACACTGCATTATATTGGATATGGAATGATATGAGTAAAAGGAAAGCAGTATTTAGAACATAATAAGTTCAAAGAAAAAGAATAAAATGATTCAAGTAACCTTTAACTATTATAGGGTGTTTTCCAAGCTATTTTTTGTTGATGTAATCGAACAAATTTCTCTCTCTCTCTCTGTGTGTAGCGTATCCTCTATATAAGCCAGTAACAGCCTCCGGACTGAAGTGATCATTTTGGTCTAGTGGCATGTTACGTGCTTACGAATCCGTAGGTCACCGATTCTGTCCTCCAGATATGCACCACTTCATTCATGACCCCTGGCAGTACTAAAAAACAGCGTAACCTTCTGAAGTGGCGCCGTGCCATCTACCCTCACGAAGAACAACCAAAAACTCGGCAGATTCCCCTGATGCAGCCAAACAAACTCGTCAAAATCACTTGACGTAGAAAAGTCGTCAGACTCTCTTGACGCAGCTCCTCCAATCAACGCAGCAACTCACATGCTCGCCATAACAACTATATCGTTCGTTCGCCTATCTGC